CCCCAACGCACCCGAAGGGTGCGTTGGGGGTGGACCCCACCGCCGCAGGCCCCTGAGGTGCGAGGCAAGCAGCTATCACGGCGATGTGTGCAGTCAGCCTCCCCGCGCCCACTGTTGGGTGGGTGCTCCTGGGGAGGTCACCTGTGTCCCTCGGTGGAGGGTGACACGTAAGCAGCTCCCCATGCCGCTTCAGGGTATGGGGAGCGAGGAGTTGGAAGTGTGGTGTGTGACTAGGTCGTGGGGATGGTGGGAAACGTGGATCTGGGGGTTCTGGTTGCACCTCTCGTGCAGGTGCCTGTGGACCGGAGGGATCTCCGGTGCCTTGCGAGACGATGGGAGGGCAATGCACATCATGCCTCACCACTAATGTAAAGGTTAATGATGACACATGCTGATTTATGGAAAAAACTCGGAGCTCCTCGGTACTGAAGTTTGGAAACAGCTGTTTCTCCAGCCTAATGGGTTCAAAGAGATGTTAAGTGCCTGCCAGACCGCTTAGTCAGTTGTGCACTTATCACAGCATTGTCTGCTTTCTTTCACCTGCCTCTGTCTCCCTTACCGTCTTTCCTAGTCATCTGTGTTCTCCCTTGAACTCACCTCTGAACTTTTGGACTTTTCCGGACTTTTTTTTTGTGGTCGTGTTTTAATTATGGGTTATGCTGCTCTCTTCCATATGGAAGGAGGGCCAGGGTAGTCCTGTAATTTTTGGCACTACTGTAGCAAATGGAAACTTGGCATACCAGTCATACAAGTATGAAATACCTTTATGGTATGTAAGGGGTTGGAAATTTTTGTCATTCCAGTTAAGGATCTGTAGATTCAAAGACTTCGCCCCTTTATTACTGAAAGCTCTTTGTTCATCACAAGTAACGTTCCTATTTAAGGGAGTCCAGAAACATTTATCATTGTCAAAGGACTGGCTTTTTCAGGTGTGTTTTCAGTATCTTAGTTAAAGGGGGGGGGGAGAACCACCAAAGGCTCAGTTCAGGCGTGCTTTAAGAAACTTTTTAGTTAAGTTTAGTGTTGGGCAAATAGGATTTGCTTTTTACTGAAACTGTAATTGTTACTGTTAGTTTCAGTTCAGGAATAGTGGAAGTGGAATTTATAGAGCTGAAGTGACTAGGACTGACAAGCTCTTTCTTGATGGGATACCCCATCAGTGAGTCTTTTCTCTCTCGTTCTGTTTATGCTATGTCTTGCATAGATGGGATAGCTGCATTGATTCAGTTCTGAAATTGTTATGGAAAAGAGTAATTTGTCTTGGCTGAGCAGATGGTTGGAATTCCTTCTAAAGCTACTGGAGTGGCCAGCTGGAATGATAAAAGGCCTGTTTGGAGCTGTATTAATAATGACACGTTACACTTATCTTTATGAGTTGTTTTAAATATGTGAAAGCCAAGCTGGAAGAGAAAGGACATTTTAAAATATTCAGAAACATACAAGATTTCTTTTCAGAGAATGCCTCTGCAGAAATCCCAGAACATTTCATTTGTCATCGAGTTATGACTGACAAGGTTAGCAGGTTCAGGGAAACCCAGGAAACCCAGTTTTTCCCTGAAGCAAAGTAACTCCCAGGTCTTGTGTCAGCTAGCTTACTGCCTACTTTATGGCTTTTCTGTATTTACTTTGCTGTCAACACCTTCAAGGAACAGAGGTTTTTGTTTTCAAGTTAATAGAAGTGAAAAATTTCCATCAAATTTGATAGCATGGGTTACACATTTTGATTGAGCTTCAAAAGGTATTTTATGTGCAAATAAAATGTAGACGCAATTTTACACCTTTGAGTCTGTGTGGTGCTTCAATCTTGCAGAGAAATTCCCATTGCCCTTTAGTAGTCTCCAGAGCACTCCATGCACGGAAAGAAGAATGTGTGACAATTATATAGCCCAAAGAAATTGTCCACCAGAGTATATTGTATGAGAACTGTATTAATCGATGTCTACAGGGGAATTTTTTTGAAAGAACTTTTTAATGCAGGGGGAGTATTACATTGTTAACATTCATTCTTATGATTTTTCAGGGTTATTTTGCTGCTTCTCCAATACTCATGCACTCAGTGCTTGTTTTCTGAACGGAGTTGCTCTTGAGCGGTATGATTTGGTGTCTATGGATCATTCCATTCACATGAGTTAACACTCAGTGTTATGCAACTGCTCTGTAATACTCCTTCATTTCAGCTGTCAAGAAGACACTTCCTAATGCAACTGAGTAGAAGCAAGTCATTTTTCTGTTTTGGGAGGGGAAAAAATGACAGTCAGAGTGCTGTTTCTTAGCCTGCTTTCCTAAAGCAACAGGGGTAAAACAGGTCAGACCTATATATGTCCATTGGCCCTTCTCCCTCAATAGTGTTTGAATCCACAGGTTGGTATTAATTACATTTGACAGTGGGCTGCCTCATGGCCACAGTTGGCAGACTGAGCAGAGATGGGCTGGAGCTATACAGGAGGATGGAGGTACTGAATTAAGTGTATGGGGAGAGGGGATGAAGTGCTTAGGAGGTACCAGGAAATATTTCAGTGGGATTGTGTGATGAGTTAAAGGCATTGCGAAACACTTGAGTGGGGAAACTGAGGGATATAAATCACAAACCCAAGATTCTGTAGATGTACTAGTCTTGTTTTTAGTAGTGCTATAAATGAAATCAGAACAAACTTTTATGTAAAGATAGTTTTGAGTGATTTCTTCTGCTTGAAAAGGAATGGTCCTCTGGTATACTGCCTTCCAAATGACACTGTTGTCATATTCACTCTTTCTTCCCAGGAAAGCACTCCATGCTTCAGGAGAAGAGCTTTTGTTTTGTTAGTTCAGTTCAGTTTGGAGCTACTCACAAGTGAGAAAGGTTTTGTCCTGTATGTACTGAAACAGGATGCTCAGGGATATTGCAGAATTGCACTGATCACTCGGCACTCTCTCAAACACAGCATATTTGCTTGTATCTCTGCAATCTGACCGCAGCAGAGAGTAGAACACGTCTGTGCTAGCTTTAAGCTAGCTGTTATGGTTTGGAAAGTAGCTGTCAGTCTAGAAAAGAAAGTTTGGAGCTCAGCACAGCCTGTGAAACCAATCTGGGCAACTTGTATTGGTACAGGGAGCCTGCTGGGAGCTCGAGACTGCTGTGGCTCCGCTGCTGCTGTGCCCTGAGAAGCCGTGTCAACAGCTGCTCAGGTGTGTTCCTGCTGTATTGCACTGGCTGCGGTGCGCAGTCATGGACCTGAGTTTGGGCTGAATTCGAGTCAGTGATCAGTCTCAACATAAAGACATCCTCCTGTTAGGTCCCCTGGGCTAACTGGTTTCTTTGATGTATTACACATTCAAGTCTGCTGTTGCTCTTGCAACTAGACGTAACGTCAAACTTTGTAATTTCAAGTATTAATGTACGTGCCAAGATTGTTCAAAGTAGTTTTGGTTGCTCTGCTTATCAGGGCTGAGCTGGTGCTGACACTCACAGGCAGTATTTGCCATCTCTGCTTACCAAAATTAGCTTGCTAGAGTTCTGTCATCTTTGTTGTATTTGTGTGTAAGTTTGTGCAACTTCCCTTTTAGATTGGTTTGCCGATGTGGTTGGAAAGCACTTACATTGTTTCAGATACACTGACTTGCTTCCCATTAGCAGCCTGGTGTGTGAATAATGGTCGTAATAACCCTAATAATACTTTGCAAATTGAGTGTTGCACTCCTTGCAATAGATCTTTAAAGATCTTTTCTTTGAGATACAGTTTCATTTCTACTCAGATCATTCTTGTAATACTTTTTTTGGCCTTCTCCCTCATGATTCATGGATACAAAATTCACATTCAGGGAAGACTTACATCTTAGGTTTCCATAGTTAATGAACGTAACTATTTCAAACTAGTTCATGTGTATAAACATGTGAAGTTCTGTGATGATAAACATCAGTAAATATTTAGGAGCCTGAAAAGTTTACAGTAAGATTAACTACGTGAGCTGAAGCTGAATCTCGTTCAGCTGGGTAAGACAAGCCCATAAGGTCTCGTTATAAACCATTATTTCCTTATTTATAATGAACAATTACATGGATAGCCCCTAAGAAGAATTAAGACTTCACATGATTCTGACTTTGCTTTTCTGTATGATTTTTAAATATCTTTTGTGACCTTTGATTTTTTTTTAAATTATTATTTTTTTAATCACTGATCTAGTTCTGCTGGTGTGCCACTGTATCGCATTTATATTCAAAAGAGTCAGACACAAATATACTTGGTATCTAGCTGCCATTTTCCTGTCATCCTGAGTTCCTGTAGAATATTTTAATAATTGATTTCCATATAGGAAATTAGCTGCTCATAAAGTCTTAATTGATGATATTTGGAAAAACTTTTCAGTTCTGCAGTTCCTCACATCCTTTCCTAGCTATCACTTCCCCATCTCCTTTCATCCTTCCCTTTCCAAGAGCATTGGTCTGTGAGCACGTCTGGTGCTTGGGGAACTACTTGTGCAGAAGATGTTCGTCCTGGTATAAGAAGTAACCCTCATGGCAGAGGTGTCTGTTGTGGTTTGGGAACAGGGACAGGTGTTCTCATACTGCCTCTCTCAACTTATTGCTCTGTGACCTTGACCACATCTTAAATTACCTTCCTGGCTGACTACTTAAGCAGGCTTAATGTGTATACAGTACTTTGAACAGGGTTACAAACGTTGAATTGTAGGAAGACGCAAATGCCAGGTTTGCCTAACGTCAGCGCTAGCCCAGATGCCCTAACCTCCGTGGTGCTTCACACTCACTGGCTTGCACAGGGCTTGCCATTACTGTGAGCATTCCTCGCCCGGCCACAGACCCCTTCTGCTGCTTCCTCCGTGTGCCTGTGTTTGTAAAGATGAGACGTAATTGAAGCTGCTTTGCCTGTATACCGAATAAATCATGAAATTTAAAAATTG